TGATGAATGTTATGACGTTTTATTACTAATTTCAGTGGTGAGTTAAATTATTAAACAAAATCAGCTCTTTGCACTTTTTTTTGTTTTATCCTTCACAGGCTTTGTTAGCTATGACAATCCTGTTTCCGCCCAAGCTGCTATTCAGGCTATGAACGGCTTTCAGATCGGCATGAAGCGCTTGAAAGTTCAGCTGAAACGCTCCAAAAATGACAGCAAACCTTACTGATCTTAACCCCAGCAGCTTTCTGCTATTATTTTAGCTTTCATAGGGTAAGTCCCATGAGCCAGCCTATTCTTCACTTGGGGCTGAGGAGGAAAACATTGCCAACACTCACCAAGAGAGACAATTATTTTTACATTAAACGCTTCCATACTCATCTACCATGGCCCTCTGCGCTTGCCATTTACTCTGGCTATATTTTCTTACCCAGAATCCAGCAAGTTTGTGTAACAATGTTCTGTTCCACTTTTCCTTTGCCTATATTTTTTGTAAGACATCTTTAGATTTACAATAGCAGCAAAACAATGTGCAATTAAACTCTGCAACCACTGGTGCCATCAAATAAACAAAACTGAACACGAGTTAGCGTTTCAAGGACCTGGTTGTATAATAATGACACCAGCAGTTAAGGAGCTAGTGCGGTGGCCTAGTATAGAAAATATTGCCAATATACACATATTTTTTATTTATTTAAATGTGTTTACATATATAAGGAGCACACACAGGCAAAAACAAACAAGTCCTTCCACTGCGTAAAATTGTTTTAGAAGATCTTCGATTTTTTTTAAAGCAAACAACAAAATTGATCAGAAATGACTGGTCTATCTTTGTGTTATTATGGCGATATGTTTTGTTTATTTATTGATTTATTTATTTATTCCATTAATGAATTATTAATTTATGTATTCTGTTATTTATTATAATTATACTATGAATATGTTTGGAAAACATGTGTGTTTAAAAAGACGTCTTAGAGAACTGTTTCTAAAGCTACAGGGTTTTAAAAATAACTAAAGTGAGTGAATATACTTGATGTTTCTTGAGAGATAAATTTAATAATAAAGGAAGCCACAGGCCTGTAAATTTTATTTGTAAAAAAAAAGAAACATTTCTATTTTTATACAAAAATTTTTACTGCCTCAGAAATAATGGGAGTTATTTATTGTTAACTTATTGGATATCTAAAGAGAAGTTCTCAATGCTAGATAGATACCTTTTAAAATAGACTCTAGAGTAAAAAAAACTTTTTTTCTTTAATTTTAAGTTACAATACCCATTATGCACAAATCACTCTCTTCCTTTTCTATGTTTTGTTTGGTTATTTTTGTTTCCATCATGTAGTGAAAGATTTGTCCTGTGACTTATCTGTTGTGTGGCATTTGTTCAAAATGGCCGCTTTTTCCCTTCTGTAACCCTTCCTTTCCTACCCAAAGCAATCCATCTGCACTAACTCTAACTGGATGGTTTCTTTTGGGCTGTTCATTGTGCTTTGTGTAAAATATATGCTCTATATATTTATATATATATGTGAATTATGGAATGCATATAGATTTTAATAGCTACAAAGATCTGCATTAAATTTTATTCCTACACTGGTTAACCTTTTCAGTGCTGGAATGAGCAGAACTGCATTTGTGAATGCATTCCTGAGCAGACCAACACTGATGGACTAAAAAAAAAGTAATTTGTTTCTGCTGCATAGATTCTGTGTAACTATATACTCTTCCTTGTTTTTTTTCCCTAGAACATCTCCATGCCTGTTAGTTCACCGTTTGCCTAGCATGTCCCTGTGGCGTCTATTTAAAAAAAAAGTTTCATCGTCCCGTCATTGTTTCTGATGTCTTTCTGACCTCACATCATATTTGATCCTCCAACTGACTTAGTTTGACTTCTGAAATTTGCATGTGTTCTCATCTAGCTAAGAATTCTGGAAAACAAAAAAAGTCAATGTGAAAAGCATTGCAGCATTCACGCAAGCCTGAAATTTACTATAAGAAAAATTATAGAAAAAAAGACAAAAAACCTGTGGCAAAAAAATCTTTTTTTTTGTTATTTTTTGTTTCATAACATAAACAGACTTGAAAGTATTATACAGGGATTAGCATTCTGTCTGGTCACTGTTTCCTAAAGCAATATGTGTCCAGGAATTCAGAATGTTGGTTTCTAAATGAGCAGACAACTTCCAAAACAGTTTGAGAAAAACTGTCTGATTTTAAGTCTCTAGAGCTCTGTAATAGTTTTTACATTTTTTCAGGCAGTGTAAAGTTTTTTGATAAGGCCATTTTAGATGGCTCACTTTCTCATTAAATTATATATATAGAACCACTTTTTTGTAGATTAGTATAAAAAAATATTTACCCTGTTTTGGGGCAAATGCTACCTAGTTCTGTCACCTTTTGCTGAACTGACTCACAGTTAGACAATCCATGGTTTAATGCACATGAAATTACCTATATTTTATACTGTTTAAATGTACAGAAAAGAAGGTAAATGTATACTGTGTCACGTTGGTGCTTCTATGAATTTAGTTGTGGCTTCATTAAGTCTTAAGAGTCTTCAGTGTTCTATGTTTGATAAGTTTAACAAAAATTGGTTTACTTGAACTAAAATAATTTTCAGATATTAAAATGTCTGTTTGCTATAATTTCATGTGAAACAAATCTATTCCAGAAAAATAAGTTTTGTGTTGGCTTGTAAAGCATTGATGTTCTTATTTTTTATTGTGGGGAAACTTAGATGTGTTTGTGTTCAGCAAAATGTGACCTGTTTTTTTTCTTTGAAAGAAAAAAATCAGTGAAAATACAGTGCCAAATTCCAAAGGTACTTCCTGCCTAAAGCTTCAGTGTATTTCGTGTACGAAGTAATTTGATAACATGGGTATTTTATTATGTGTTTTGTATAAATCCCTTCTATTTAAAAAAGAGAGATTACAAAATTTGTTAACTTGCTATCCTGTGGTCTTGTTGCTTGAAATTGTTATTGTTTGTTATATCTCTTTGATGTTTTTTGGTAATACATTGTATACAGTAAGTGCCCATGTTCCACTTTTTTAACCACTCTGCACATCAAATCTGTGAAAGCAAACCTCACGAGTCACAATTGTATTTTCTTCATGGTCTGTGGAAGTCTTTATGGTGATAAATAGTTGAACTACTATTCCTTTTAAGCATACTGTCCTAAAGAATCATGGTATATAAAGTAAACACAAGCACACTGAATCCATTGTTTATAAGGCGCATCCATAAGTTAATGTAGAACAAACAAAACTTCCACTTTTTAGGTATGATTAAGTGAAATATATAGGGCATTGACTGCTCATTTTACAGAGCCAGTCATGTAGTATCAAGAAGTGCCATATTTGTAGTCATTAATCTCCATCCTCTATACGTCATCAAAACTTTATTTTTCATTTTGCTAAATCTTTTCTCTCCTTTCATTCCTCAAATTGAACTAGTTATTACTGGTCCACTTTTTTACATTATTTAAAAGGTGGCATCTTTGTACTGCCATTGTTCTTCTTTGAGTGAACATAATAGCATTTGATTAATAATGCAGTGCCTGATCTTTAAATCACAACAAATGCTATTGCCCCACTATTGACATAAACTAGTAATGTACTAGTAAAATCCCCCTACCATGATATTTGTTAAAGTCACAATAATTTTATATAGGTTCTTGTAAGTGTTTACTACTTTAATCCTGGGTCCTACCAGATTTACTTGAGGGCTATTTTTGTATGAGAAAAAAAAGACTATTACTAAATTATATCTATATGTCATTCTAAGAATATATGTATAGAGATATATAATAGAAAAAAAACATATTTTTATTACTTAGATTAACTCATATTTGGCTGCATTTCAAAATATCTCATAGAATAATACATTTAATGATTGAACACCAGCTGTTACGCTGATAAGTTTTATTATGGAGCTTTGATTGCTAGAGTTGTGAAATTAAGATATTTTAGAAAGCTCATTTAGTAATACTTTAAGAGAACCTGTTTTCATGTTCTAGACTGCCATTTCTCTTTCTGTGTTCATTACATTACCACCGTTTACAGTGGAACAATTCAGGGAACTGATCCTATCAACAAGCTGGAAGTTGTTAATGTATAATGACTTAAAAAGAAACAACTGCAAGCTCTTGGGACATACTGAATGCCCTACTGTATAAAAAAGATCATACATGTCACAGTTAATAGGTACGCACTGAAGAGACGTTGCTTAAAGGATTAATAAGTTCAACTTTTCTTTCACCTCGAGATTCTAGTTTTTTGGGCTTATGTAACTGAAGTCATTTTAACTGTTCTGTTTTATTATCTCAAGTGCTAAATACGAATAAGAAAAAAACGTGTAGTTTCATACCATTTTAGAATTACATCATACAAAAGAAATGTATTTGTGTTTCTTTTTTTGTGCTGTGAGAATTGTTGTTTGTAGATTAAATAATAACTCATTTTGTTTCGAATTACAAATAGTTTTTGGTATTGTCTGAGAAAAGCCAAAGTTACTGAAATTTTTGTGGAAAATGTAAGATCCTTTAAGTATTTGTTTATGTTTTATTGATGCATTTTGGTTCTGTTGTGTGATGGAATTTGAGCCAAAAAAACACAAAAAAATGGCTTTCCTATTTCTACTAACTGATTGTACTTATGCATTTTGTACCAGTGCAACATTTTATACTGGAGATTAAAAATACAAAAGGAAAAGTTGTGGCTTACTCTTGAGGGCCCTACCATGACTGATTTTATGTTTGTTTTTTGACTGGCAAAAAGAATGGTTTTGCTTTCAACACTTAAAAAAACTTTGGCTTGCTTTTTTATTTGCTTATATCTAACGCTAACAAATATGTCTAAAATGAAAGCGGTAAGTTTCACTTTTTATTATGTATTGTGCAGTTACACACTAAGGTAATTAGCGCTAGATGTACACAGTCACTTTAAGTGGATAAATGTATTAGTAATAATTAAAACTAAAAATAGGGGTTTGCTTTTTTGCTGTTTAGATCAAACTTTTTCTGATTCTTCTGTCCTCATTGTGAACATTACTGTGTAGTTGAAAAAGTCAAACTTATTTTTGTAATGTATGTTATTGTGTGATGCAGTTTTTTGCTTCTGTCTCCAATATTAAACCATTTTCCTAATACTTGTCTCTTTGTGTGTTGTGTTTGTTGGTGCTCATCATGTGGTAAAACATCTATACACTTCACTGTTTAACGTCTGTTTTTCCTTTTAATTTTTTTTCTGTATTTTTCTTACTTTTATATTTGTTGCATATAAAGGTTACAGTCGATTCCATTTAAGTGAAAGCCTAAATGTGGACAAAAAAGAGGGAGCAAAAAGAAAAATATCCCAACTTTTTGTTCTATATGTGTAATGTTAATTTATTTTATTATGTTAGCTATAATTTTTCCTCCATTCATCACTTTTGAATACATAAAGCAACAGAATAACAGTGGAAAGGCAGTTTACCAAATTAATTTTGTTAATGGTTATCTAAGCCTACCAATTACACATTTGCCCTTGCAACAGTTAGTTTTCAGCAAATTAGGTTGAAATGGCTTAAGATGCCAAATAACCTCCTTGTGTTTCTGAGAAACATAATCAATATACAAGTAATGTTTTATGTTGTCCAAAAAATAGTATATGATTAATATTCATTGAATCTGCAGGATAGAAAACCTAGACTTAGGATAACCACAATTCCCAGTATATGTGGTCTTTCAGCCAGTGCTGTAGACAAATGCAATGTCCAAAAGCACGTTTCAAAAGCACGTTTCAAAAACGTCATATACAGATCTTTTTTTATTTATAATAGTTCATGGCCCAGTCTTTTAAAGGTTGGCTGCCTGGGCCCATGATAGGTCAAGCAGCAACATCTCAAAGTTTAGTATAGTTTATTTAGGAATGCATAAGTCCTAAGTTTCATCTAACTGAAACATACCTACACCAGTAACTGCCTTTTAGTATGTGGCCACACCTCTCAACTAGAACCTTTTTTTAGATCAAGTGAGGCTGCAGTCTGTCCAAGGGTGTTAATCCAGCAAGTTGCAAGGACCTGATTACACATGGCACTGCTGGGAGGTGAGAATACCTTACATAAAACCAAAAATTGTAATAAAATATTAATGCTAAGTACATACACGATAAAACAAAACACCTGTATTATTTCCACTATACCATAAGTAATACAATATGCACTGTCCAATACTTTTTATATGGGTTGGAGCTATGCTTGGCTGCACATAAGAATCCAATGAAAATAAGGTAATTTTGATAACATTTGCAACATGCAGTCCCAAATACATTCACAAAATGCTATTTCGTATGCCATGACAATTATACATTATTCAAAAATGAATAATATTTTTATTTATTTTGAGCTCCAACATTATGCAAAAATGTGGTTGCTAAGCTGAACATTACAGGCCTCAATAATGCTAACGTTCTACAGCATAATATATGAATATAGATCTATTTGCATAATGCATTGTCCCTTGCTTTGTATGTTACAGCTCACTATCAAGATGAATGGTTCAGAGCCTCTCAGTTATTAGGCCTTGTTTATCCACAATTCTGCCAACAATGCAGCCCTGAAACTGTGAAAACTGTTGAATATATAACTTGCTATACAAAGCTTCCCACATCCAATCCAATAAGGTTACAGTTGTACAAAAGGAAAGCTGCTTATTCATTCAGTTATGAAGGCAACAATTACAGTGCTAGTACTATCATCGTAAACAGTATCCATTTAAACATTTCTGGATACATGCAGTTTTTTTCAGCAACCCAAAATATACTCAATTTTTTCAACTGTGAGCTCAACCTACTGGTTCCACATTTAGTTGGGAGATTTTCATGTATTGTCATGGAGAATCTTGTAGGGAAATGCTGCAACCTCCAAAATGCTAAAGGATTAGTGCCTCATTCCTCAGTTCACCATTGTTGTATATGGAGACTCTGTTGTTGAGAGGGACCTAGAAATGTAAGCTAAAAACCTAGGAAATGTTTCTCTTGGGATGAGAAGCAGCAGTAAAGACCCAGGGGGGCTTACCCTCTAACCCACTCCATTCACAGGTTGTTTATACTAAGAATATACATGAAATATATATAACTGAGGAACATAAAAGAACATTTAAACATAGTTAACAGTTAAAACAGTTACAAGATTATACTTGTAGCACTTGTATTCTTTACTGACACATTAATCTATCCAAATTCCCAATGTAATCAGTTAGATTTCTATAGAATAGCACAAAAGGGTTTTTATAAAAGTGTATCTAATACAAAAATCATCATTATAAATTCCATGATTTTTACCCAGGCAGTGAATCTAAAATACAAATTACAGTGCACTGCCTCCATGATAAAAGCCAATAGTTTTACACAGATAAATGGATCTGTTTGTCCACCCAAAGTTTGGTGATATAGACTTTGAGCATCTATACTTAAATTAATAAAAGGCGGCTCATGAAATCACAAAAGCACCAGTGATCCCCACCGTGCTATGCTGCCTGCAACAATCTGTCAAAGATCAGGTTGTGAAGTGTTTCTGCAGAAAGCAACCTTCAGTGCTTCTAACCAAACAAAAGGGCTTATTAGCACACAAAGGTTTTTCCATTGTGTTTTAAAGTCTGTGTACCATGGCTGACCATTGTCCCCTGTTCTATAGAAAAAAAGGAATGAAGTGAAAACAATGTTTGTGCTGGTTAGAAGAGTTAACCTGTAGGTATCAGGATGGATTCTCACATAATTTAGACAGGTTTGATGATGGGTGTATGTATTACTGATTTTTATTCTCGGTAAAACATCTGCCTACGCATACCAAGGGGTCCCAAAAATGTTTTACTTATTTTTAATATCTCTAACCATAAATTAAATATGTTATGTAAATGAATGTGTACTGATAGTATAAAATATATATTTGTTATAAAATATATTACTTTAGATCCTGTTCTAAGAACTGAATTTAAAGTAGTTAGCCCCTCATATTGTCTTCCATAACCAATTCCCAGTATCAGTGGCAATATAGGGGGTTCCTGCACAAGTAAGACTAGGGGATTGTATGAGTGGTCATTTTCCAGCCATACACCTATCAAATTATAAGATTCAGGATACTGGAAAACTGGATTTATAGTGCTAAAGATTATTGGTAAAGTCACACAGGTTACATTTAAACACAGTAGGCTTTTTCTTAAGAAAAGCAGCATTTTCTAGGAACATCTGTCAGATTAATTTGTTGTCAAATCGAATGTAATAAAATGGACACTGCTGGCAGTGTCTTGGCACAGCACTTATCAAACTAGTATGTATGTCAACAAATAAATCCTACCAGCTTTAAGAGAATGCACAACGCTGTTAACTATATATTCTGAATATTAGTTTAGTACTAAAAAATGCATTACTTTTAA